GGGAATTCAAACTAGGGGCCTTCACACCGAGCTTGATATTCGGTAATAGGTTCTTTCCCGTACGCAACGCGGGATCCCGCGGGTGCCCGAAACAGCCCAGAAATCATCCCCGTACTCAACAAAATGGGCAATAGGGAGCGAAAATTGGAACGTATTAAATCGTAGGTGTCTTCTTCTTCCTGGCCGAAACAGCCGGGACTTTTTCTCCGGGTGAAAATGGATAAAGTGTCAAAGTGCATATCAGCTGTTTTGTGCTTACATGTTGCCTGCATTTACTGGGTGCTTTTAAGGAATAGTGAATTGCCTGTTGATGTATTTACAATCTTTATATACTTAAAATCAAATTTGTGAGACCAAAATTCAGTTTCCAAGAGTTTGCATTAAAGTGACAAAAACGAATACAACGTGAATCAGCTGTTTCGCGAATTCTCCGTACTTCTGGATTATATTCCATTTTTGAGTCCAAACTTTTCGCTTATTCTCTAATTACCGGATCCGGTCCGGATTGTTGGGGAAAGAACCTAATTTTTCCTATTGTATATTAGGGGTCTTCACACCCAGCTTGGTACTTGGTAACTCGTGATTTAGTTATTGTTATTATAGATGTTATTTGCGTGATTTAGTTATTTGCAAATAATAAATTAACCCATCGTTTATACGGCAAATTCTACCATTTTGCAAATAATACGTGCATATAAACGTAGTATATGTTCATCTACAGCTGGCTTTCGGCAGAGTGTGGATTTAAAATTTAATAAATATCGAACAGCTGATCAGTTCACCGACTACCAGAAAAATTGTCAAACTTGCCATCACGATGATTCGGCAATCGGTAAACCGATAATAAAATAATTTTACACAAGCTAAATACATGGGAAAAATTACCGAACACCGAATTACCGAGTACCAAGCTTGACGTGACGACCCTGTTATATGATAATTTTCTGGTAGTTGGCAAACTGATCAGCTGCTCGATAATTATTAAATTTTAATCCGCCATCTACGAGCCAGGTGTTGAAAAACATATATACCAGAATAGCAAACGTAAGTTGAAAAGGACGGTCACAGGCCAAACTAATATTCAAAAATTTCTCATTTGCATACAACTTTTATGGGACTAATCGAAATTGAAAGCGTGCGGATAAAGCCAACTTAAATTCCAAGACTTGTCTTGCGTGACATTTCGATTTGACGTTTACGCTCAATTGACATTTTGGCGTGACTATGGATTCAAATTTTGTAAATTTCCGAAAATGTGAGAGATATGCAATTCTGAGAAATCACGCACGCAAATTGATTTCGGTATATCAAATGTGAAAAACTTGCGTGCACGCGTAGAAAAACTCACGCCGGTATTATTAGATGGAGCTGTCTCAATTCACAAAGTTACCGAGCGCCAACTAGCAGTTTCCCAAAACTACCGAAATATAATAATAAAATATAATAGCCTATCTCGGTTTGCGGTCATATTTTCCAATTTCTCTTGTTTGTGTAGCTAAACACTAAACAAACAAAATACGTAGAGGAAAATTACCGAATACCAAATTTTCTGGTTCCATGCTTCGGTGTGAAAGACCCTAATTGTTTGTATTGTCTAATCAAATGCAACTCTGAAGAATCATAATATCTATACATCTCTGCGTGCAATTTCACGCAACCCTGTTGAGCCGAACGAACCTTCGGCGGAAACGAACACAGCACAGATGAAATTTTTATTGCAAATGGTGGTGACGGACATGATTCGAGAGTTGCGGATTTTTTCACAATCAATTTTGCTGTAGAATTTTCGTAAATTTGGTGTGTGTGCTAATTGCACAATAACGACATGATAAATGTTTATTAACAACAGCGGGTGTTTGTGAATTATATTGAAATTCGAACACAGAAACGGTGAGTGCAGCTAGCGAGTGCCGAATGTGAAAAATGTACACATCGCAAAGTGGAAAAATGTTGAGGGAAAAAATCAAATACGAAGCGTTCGCAATGGCGAAGTGAAAATATTTATGCTTTTTCTTGTAGCATGTACAGCATTAAACATTTTTCTCATAATTTGTAGTTAACAGGATAAGCGTAATAAGGTGTGAAAATTGCAATATTGATGGTGCTGCTACTAGTGGAAAGGAAAATTCCAGTTCGCTATTTGCTGTCGCTCACTGAATGAATAGGCGGGCGGCCACTGTTGGTGGGTCAGTGTACAGAGCGCTGCAGGTTTGTAGCGGCAGGCGCATATATAAAGAAAAGAAAGTGTAGAGAAATTTTGGTCGGTTAAAGGGCTTCAAAGAGTATGTTTATTTGCAAGTTCATAATAATATCAAAATAATTATATGAAATTAAACATTACATATGTACAATATACAAAATTTTGTATCTGTACACGCGAAATTTGTTTTTATTTTTATTGATTTTGTGATTTGCAGAAAAAGCGCGCCATTACGTGACGTAGACAGTCTTAACCCATTGCACACCTGCTAGAAACATGTTGATAACTTGTAAGGCAAAAACTTGCCAAGTTTGGGTACTTCGAGTGTACTATACTTATAAATTAAGTTTTCACTGATGTTAAAATATTTTAAAGAACGTAAACAACGCTTTTTAACCGACTTCCAAAAAAATGAGGAGGTTATCAGTTCGTCGGAATATATATTTTTTTTTGTTATGTATGTTACCGCATAACTTTGGACCACGTCAATCGATTTCGATAATTCTTCATGCATCGGAAAGGTAGTGTCTCAGAGGTGGTCCCATACTAATCTGGTTAAGATCCGATCAGTGGATCATGATATATATATATATATATTATTTTTTTTTTTGAGGGTTGAAGTCGGTTATTTTTTTGCTAAAAATTACTTGTTACATTTTTTTTTAAGTATAGTATATACACTATAAAATAAATAAAAATTTGAATTAAGGGCAATTTTATCCTGGTAAACAAATTTAAATTACTATAATTACATACCAAATGTATACATAATTGAACACTTTTTATGACTACTTTTCGGTACATGTTCGTCAAAACATCGCGAGTATTCCACCAATTCATCGTCGCTGTCATTGGTTTGTACTGTGCAAACATACATACATACATATATATAGAGGCCCACAATCATTTCTGCCGCAAAATAGCAGACAACAAAATAATACAAATTTTGTTTTGCTATTCAGCTTCGCATTTTGCTGCACTCTTTGTCGTTTGTCTATTTATCTTTTTGTACTTTACCCACCCAATTTGTACGTTGGTTTGTGGCGACATATGCGGTGATGACGTGGTGTATCCGGAATTATGTTATTTCCTTAAAATGGTGTATGTTTTTTTATTTTATTTTCTCTGCATTCTCGCCTTCGTACTCGTATTTTGGTTTATTTACTTTGCTTTTGTGTTGTCCATATTTTATCATTTTCATTGGGGCAGAATTGAAAGGCCCGATTTTGTATGTTCGTCATATGGAAATACCCAAAAAATATGAGGATTTTTGTAAATTAATTAAAGAAACTACACGACCGCTGTGGTTTAGTGGTAAGCAGTGCGCGCTTCCACTCCGCAACGCCTGGGTAACACTAACACACGTGTAAGCGCCAATCTATTATTATTTTTAAAGAAACTAAAGTAAGCAGCTCATTTCTAGTTTTATATGTATATATATATGTATTTATACAATTAATTTTTCCTATACATACTTTTTAATTAAATTACATATTTCAGTGGCGGGCCGTTACATATTAACAATCCAGTAACCGGATTGTCGGTCTACTTTTCAATCCAGTGCTCCCAGGCCAGTACAATTCGACCCGTTGTATAGCATAAAAAATCTCAACAGAGTTTTTGGTCATGTAGTAGCAGAAAAGACAGTCTTTGGCCAGATATATAATGTGTTCCTTTACCTGTAAAATTTAGCGCGGATGCAAACTTAGTTTTAGACTCAGAGTGGCAGATAATGCAATAATAGAGTATTTCGAGATGTAATTATATCCGATGTCGTTTAATTAAATGGGGCAAAAATGCTGAACATTTTCAGAAAGTGGACGTGGCACCTTTGCATTCTTAGCGATATACCTTCATACATATGTATTAATGAACACAATACATGCAAATAATTTTATTCAATTACTGATTTTATATTTCTGGTTTTTTGATCCTCTAACAAACTCGTCTATGATTTCTTTTAACGCTAACGATTGAGTCTGTTCAAAAAATGAATCTTTCACTTCTGTTCATTGTCCCTTTAGTGTTCATTACACAGGCTTCTTGAAAAGCTGCAATAAAGGAGAAAGTCGCCATTGGCTGTCTAGTGCTGGACTGGCTAATTCAAATAAGGCATTAATCACTCGTAACTTTTTATTTTTATTTTTGTTTTTTTTTTGCGTTAAAGCCGTTTTTCAAAGTTTGTACTGTGACTAAAAGTTCAATTGAGCCAGTTGATATTTGCAAATTGAGCCATAATTTGATTAAAACCCTTAAATTTATGATTAGCAACGAGCCTTAGCGCAGTAGTGAAGAAAAGTGCTGAAGCTGGGTTATAAGGGATGCCTTTATGGATGGATACATTATTGACGGTTGGAAGATTTTTATGGAAGCTATACTTGGAATTTGGAGATCAAATTTTCTTGCTTGGAAATTATGTTTTTACATCAAAGTAATGTCTTGTTTATTAAATATAAAATATTTTTCAATTTCAGTTGTTCGATTTTTATAAAAACAAAAATATAAATAAAAGATATAAAAAAATTGGTCTATTTTGTTTGTTTTCAAACGATTTCTTCTTAATATTTTCCAAATATTTCTTAGAAATTTAAATCAATTGTCAGCTACATATCGTACACCGTCTTCAAAAGATGCACAACTCAAAATTTGGCATTTTTGAAATTATGCGCTAAAAATGTACCTTTCAGCAAAGGCAGTGCCTACTTACACGCGCCACGGTAACTTTTACGGATCCCCGGTAATTTTATCGTGGATCTACGTTAAAAGTTACCGTGGCGCGTTTGTGTAGACACTGGCTTNAAGCAATTAAAAATGGCAGCTAATAACAACCTGAACATGCACAGCATGTCTCCACAGCATATATCATCGCTTAATCAAGGCATTATGCCTCAATCGGTTATTGCATCAACTGGTAGTGTCAGTCCCATGATCGGCATGCCATCAATGCCGCAACCATCAAGCAGCGCACAAAGCGCTTGGGATCAACTAACCGCTTCCTCATCATCTTCAATCAATTCGAATGTACTAAGTACCACGCCCACAACAAACATCATCGCTGTTGGTGGTAGTGCTGTTGGCTTGGGAATTGGCAGTACAACTAATTTATCTACATTACAAACGCTACCGACAGCAAGTAATAATACTATTAGTGGTGTTGGTGGCACTATGATTGCTGCTAATACCGGCGCCCAGACGGGCGGCATAACGATGGGCGATCCCAACGGCCTTGGTTTGGGTAATACATCTGGTGGTAATTCACCAGCGGCTAGTTGCGCCTCTCCATCGACGCCCACAAAAACAAATGCACCTCCATTGGATGGTATGATGGCACACACGCCCACACAAGGACCACCTGCTATGAATAGTGGCGGATATGGCGAGGAATTGACGGCCGAGTNTGCTGCTAATACCGGCGCCCAGACGGGCGGCATAACGATGGGCGATCCCAACGGCCTTGGTTTGGGTAATACATCTGGTGGTAATTCACCAGCGGCTAGTTGCGCCTCTCCATCGACGCCCACAAAAACAAATGCACCTCCATTGGATGGTATGATGGCACACACGCCCACACAAGGACCGCCTGCTATGAATAGTGGCGGATATGGCGAGGAATTGACGGCCGAGCTAGTGAATCAAGGTTGGCGCAAATTTTGGTCGAAACGCGAGAGTCGGCCTTACTATTGGAATAAAATAACTGGTGAATCGCTATGGGAAATGCCTGGCGCACGGCCGTTTGATCCACTAACAGATCCTTTAGGTATGCTTGTTTTATAAATTTATTAATTTATGTACACGTTAAATACTATTTTCTTATGAAGGCATTTGTCATAGCGGTGGTCAGCCGCCAATGAATCCAGGCATGCCTCATCCGCACCAAATACAACACCCGAGNGTTTTATAAATTTATTAATTTATGTACACGTTAAATACTATTTTCTTATGCAGGCATTTGTCATAGCGGTGGTCAGCCGCCAATGAATCCAGGCATGCCTCATCCGCACCAAATACAACACCCGAATTTAAAGCGTCGCCCCTCGGACGATATGCATCTACATCCACATCAACAGCATCCGCCGTTGAAGAAATTCGTCTTGGCTGGGCCTTGGGATTTAGAGATTTGCACGAATGCTGTAATTGTTGAACGACCGCCAACGTTATTGCCACAACCACATCCTGAAATCGAGGCTTTACGCGCTGCCTACACTATGAAACTTGTAAAGACGTACGAAGATCTATGTATGCGTCGCGAAAATATTAAAGCGCCGAAAGACTCATTCAATCGCTGGCTAATGGAGCGCAAAGTAGTAGACACTGGATGCGACCCTCTCTTACCGAGCAATTGCAAGATAGAGATTTCACCATCAATGTACAGGGAGATTATGGGAGATATACCGATAAAGATTGTTAAACCGAAATTTACAGGTAACTAGAGCAGATTTTAAATTGATTACATNGAGCAATTGCAAGATAGAGATTTCACCATCAATGTACAGGGAGATTATGGCAGATATACCGATAAAGATTGTTAAACCGAAATTTACAGGTAACTAGAGCAGATTTTAAATTGATTACAGCGCGAACAGTGGTTTATGGTTTTTTACTTCCTCTTTTACAGGCGATGCACGCAAGCAATTGTCACGTTACGCCGAAGCCGCTAAGCAGATTATTGAATCTCGTTCGGCACCAGCCGAGAGCAAAAAGATCGTTAAATGGAATGTTGAAGATACTTTCCAATGGTTGCGACGCACTGTTGGCGCCAGCTATGAAGACTTTCAAGATCGTCTTGCCCATTTGAAACGACAATGTGAACCACATCTGGTGGAGACCGTTAAAAGTTCCGTAGAGGCGCTCTGCATTAAAATCTATCACTTGAGCGCTGAACATGCGCGTAAAATACGCGAACGTCATATGCAATTGCTCAAGGAGCATGGCATACCAGAGCCTACACCACCACCACCACCGCCTCATCTTAAGAAAGTCTGGTGTTATCCCATACAGTTTGCTGTACCATCGCCACGTATGCCAGCTATCGAATACGTACAGGATCGTGATCACATGATAATAAAGTACACGCCAAGTACACACAATCAGCCCGACGCGCAATATATAAATTTAACGCATCTGCAGAAGTTGGAGCAATTGTATCGGCACAATTGTTTCGATGATAAAAAATTTGATTTGTTCATTGGAAGGGTTTGGTGCCTATTGAAGCGCTACCAGACATTCCTGGGCAATGCATTGAACTCGTCACAGGAGGCCGAAATGACGCAGGCATCATTGCCAGTACCAGTGTTTGAATGTTTACATCGTCACTACGGTGTTAGTTTTGAGTGCTTTGCTTCGCCATTCAACTCGTACTTTAGGCAATATTGCTCGGCGTTCGCAGATACCGATGCATATTTTGGTTCCAGAGGGTGAGTGGAAAATTAATTACGTTAAATGCTTGTTTTTTTTTAGTTACTGCAATTTTTTTATTTCCGTAGGCCATTTCTAGATTTCAAGCCAGTTTCTGGTTCGTTTCAAGTAAATCCACCGCATTGCGAGGAACTTATCGATAGAGCGCTGCACCACATTGATAAGTTACTCACCGATTCCATGGAGCCTTTAAGGTAAAAGTGAATAAATAATATTAAAAAATTCAAATTTTTTATATTAGTTGCGATTGCTATTAGTNGAGCCTTTAAGGTAAAAGTGAATAAATAATATTAAAAAATTCAAATTTTTAAATTAGTTGCGATTGCTATTAGTTTCATCATATTTTTGCCCGAGTGGAAAAGTATCGCAAAACTGGAGGAGAGCATGTTCAAACGCCGATCAATGGTGGTCTTGGGCATGGCACATGAATACCGTCACGGCTATCAACACATTATACCAAAGTAAGTATACTAAAGTTCTTCTATATTCCATATAAATAAATACTTAAACCCTTTCGCAGAGCCGATGTCAATGTGAAATGTATGCAAGGCACCCAAGTGGTTTGGTTACAGAATAGCGCAGGCCATGCACGCTGGGGTCCCAATGAAAATCGCGTAGAGGCGTTACGTGAAGCATTCCGGCCACAACGCGATCGTGAGCGTGAGCGCGCTGCCGCCGCTGCGGCTGCAGCTGCATCATCGCCACAACCATCAATGCATCAATCTTCTGCTGCGCATACGCTCAGCAACAGCAGTAGCGGCGGCAGCAATGCTATAAACACAAATGCCAGTAGCTCTGCAGCCTCCGCTACTTCTACCAACATCAATTCAACCAGTGCTGCGAGCAGCAGCACAATGCAATCAACAGGCGCGCCACTCTCACCACACACGCCACCAAATATGGCTACGTCATCGACCGGTTCGCCGGCTATGAGCATTCAGAGTGCTTGTTCTTCGCCTTCCTCTTCATCAATGTCACTTTCGCCTGCTGCACCCGGTGCTGTAGGCATGCTAGATGGCAATACTTCGGTATCTATTACGGCAACAGCTACAACTGCAGGTGGTGCTTTCGCCAGTCTAGTAGCTGCTTCGACATCAGCCGCAAGCGTTGTAGGCAGCGGCAGTGTAATGAGTGGTGGCGTAGGCCCATCAGGTGCTGCAGGCAGCGCCATTAACAGCAGTGCCGGACAAGCGGTTATCAATTCTGCAGTTTAAATACGCTGAGGTTTTTTTATGTAACAGGATTAAATTACAAATTGAAATTATATGAGTTTTGTTAGAAGCGGGGAGCAGTAAAATAATAGTATAAGTACAACGTGCGCACCGGTTCAACGTGCGCTGTATCGGGCCAGGATAGCAAATTCAAATATGAGTTATGTATGTATATGGCAACTTTCGTTTCTAATTTTTGGCGGTAATGTAATTTATTAATATTTATAAGGAAAATATGTAAGAAAAGAAACAAAGGAAAAAAAACTAGTAAAAAAGTAGGGTTAGCTTTAGAAAAAGTTAAAAAAGATGCAAAAGAATTGAATTCTTTCCAAGTAAGCATATAGATATACATGCAATGAGTGTTTATACTTTACGATCACTTTACTATTGTCTATTTTTTAGCAATGTACATATATCAAAACATACATAAACCATATTTTTAAAACGAAATTTTCGTTTTGTGAGACGCTACTGCGGCGCCAAATGACAGAGCATTACAATGTCATCTTGTTCTATACTTTTTCTATTTCTATGTAGTTTTTACACTAATACAAAAAAAAAGTATTTGATAATTAAGAGATACAGAATTTTCTTGCGACAATTGACTTTTTTGAAATTAATTTTAAGTTAAATTTAACGCTAAGGGCTGCAGAGTTGACTAACTCACGTTTGTAAACAAAAGCGTATAATTATAAATGTAAAACTCAACATTTTTTAAACCTTTTGTTTTCATTTTAACCTGGGGTGGATCGAATACATGTTTGTATGTATGTATTAAATAATAGCTAAATAGAATCCTCGCATCAGATGTAAAAAAATGGAAGTAGTTTATGGAAGTAATATGTATCCCATGAAAAATAGTGTAATTGAAGCATTTTGAAATACATAGCTTTCAAAAAACATCGGCGCTATAATCGGGCGAGTTTTAAAGCGTTTACTAAAAAATTATGATGAAATGACGATTACAATTCGTTTATATTTTAATGTGGGCTTTTGGAACCCAGTAAGAAATTAGTGCTATAACCTTAAGCAACCTTAAGTTTTTAGAGCGACAACCAATAGCAACTTATATATCATCTAAAATCATACGTTTTAAATGCATATGCATCAATTTTCGCGTTGAAATTTACTCCAAATTCTGTTTTTTTTCTTTAAGTTAAATTTCAAAAAATTTAAATGAACTGCCTATTTTTTATGAATGTTTATTTAATTTCAGTATTTTTATGTGATAAAATAATAAAAGCGCAGATAGACTACGTAAATTAAACTTTCATTCACTCTTTCTTAATAACATGCAAAATCAACTATAAAAACCTATTACTTTGACAATGCTTATGACGCTGGGACATACCGTACCCGTGTTGACTTCACGCTGAGTGCAAGAGCGGAGGNTTTTTTTTTTCCTAACTCTTCTAATACTTTTGGTTCTGTTTTTTTCGACCCGAGTATCTTTAAGTTAAATCTCAAAAAATTTAAATGAACGGCCTATTTTTTTATGAATGTTTATTTAATTTCAGTATTTTTATGTGATAAAATAATAAAAGCGCAGATCGATTACGTAAATTAAACTTTCATTCACTTTTTCTTAATAACATGCAAAATCAACTATAAAAACCTATTACTTTGACAATGCTTATGACGCTGGTTCATACCGTACCCGTGTTGACTTCACGCTGAGTGCAAGAGCGGATGCAGCAGACTGGGAGGGTTGTGGTCTTCAGCTATATAAACGCTCAAACACGTACTATTTAAAAAAAAAAATGTGGGTGTAATAAGTCAGGTTTGGGAGATGGCGTCATTGGCGCCGAGTTAAGGGAATCAAAATTCGTTTATTGAAAAAAAAAACGAATCATTCAATGTTTACCTAATGGACATTACACAGGGCTATCCGAATATCCGATTTTTTTTTTTACTTTTTTAACGCCATTCGCTTGAATGAAATTTTGTTAGGTAACAACTTTTCGCTAAAACTTGAAAAAAGGAGTCCCCATGCATAAAGAGAAAATTGAAAATTGTAAAATAATACACTGTTATAAGAAAAGAAACTGAATTTTTTTTAATTTTAGCTGAAAATANATTTTTTTTTTTACTTTTTTAACGCCATTCGCTTGAATGAAATTTTGTTAGGTAACAACTTTTCGCTAAAACTTGAAAAAAGGAGTCCCCATGCATAAAGAGAAAATTGAAAATTGTAAAATAATACACTGTTATAAGAAAAGAAACTGATTTTTTTTTAATTTTAGCTGAAAATAAAAAATAAGATTACTTAAACTCCAAATAGTAAGCTAAATGCTATCTAAAAAATGTACAAAAGGAGAAACAAATTGAATTAATAAAAGATATAACGGCAAAAAAGCTTAAAAAATCAAATTCATGTACGTCTAGTTACATGACTTTAAACGGTCATAAAATAGCAAAACGGAACACGGCACACTTCTATGTACTTTTCAACAAAGCGTAAACAATACAAATTTCGACGTATTAGCATTAAAACAAACTCTAACCAAACATGTACATAGTACTAAAGTAAATGTAAAACTTGAATTATTGAAAGACACCTAGAGCAAAACATTAATTAATGTATGTATTGAAATTCTAAATAAGATGAAACAAATTTTTAATGCAAAGCAAAACTAACCAAATAACATTTAATTGCCTTCCCTTTTGTTTACTTTTAGCCATATATTAAAATAAATAAGTCATCGTAAACTCATATGCATGTAGCAACAATGAAAACACCAATGTAATATTAACTAAAATAACCATGTTTTAAAACTCCTCACAAAAGTTGAATGAAATGCAGTCGACAACTGAACTTAGTAATTTAAAGTCACATTTATGTGTTACAAATCGTACTCTTGCGTGCGCTTCTCTTTTTCTCACTCACTACCTTATGAATAGACTTTTTTGTTTCCTACGAATTTAAGAGAAATGTTTGTTTTTGTATTTTAACTAATTTTGTATCAATTGAATAGCTCTTTCATACAAAATCATGTAATAACCAAACTCTCATTAAAAAGTATACAATAAATATACATACATACTTACATAAATAATACATGTATTAGCAAAATTTATTGTTAATAAAATGTTGCACCCTACTGACCTACTACTCATTGCAGCCGAAAAAATATAACTAAATGCATATGAAAAAAAAATAACTAAAAATTCAACAATAAATTGTTAACATTTTATTGAATTATTGCTAAAGAAAAATATTAAATAAAAAGGAAGTGTAGTTCAAACAACTTGTGTATAGTTATTTTGCAAGGGAGATTTTTTGTGTGAAATGAGGTCAAAGTGAAGCTTGCCAAGGCAAGAAGATTTGGGTATATATAACATACATACATATGTACTATATAAGTTGATTTTTTACTTATTTTAAAAGCCTTTTTAATTAAAACTACTTTATTAATTTATCAATTTGTATTTATTAGCGCACACTATTTTTTATAATTTTAAATGCTACAACAACCCATTTCAGAACTAAGTCTGGATTGAACACCTACAGATGCGATGAACTAATTAGCAATGACATTCTAAATGATTTGCAAATTTTCTTTATTTATTTATTTTAATAATTTTCATTTAAAGTATGATTCGATCTATAAGAGAAACCACAATAAGATGAAAGTTTCAAAGCTTGGACAAATTGCAAAAAAAAAAATTAATCAAACTTCTAAATATTCTCATCAAAATTTGAAAATTTTTAATTAGATTATTTAGAAAATTTTCGGGTGTGCAGTTTTGTAACCCAGTCAATTTTAGTACAATAAAGTACAAGTTTGAAGTAGCTAGGATTTGCAGCTGATTTTTTTTTGTGGAGGGTGTGCGCNATTTTCGGGTGTGCAGTTTTGTAACCCAGTCAATTTTAGTACAATAAAGTGCAAGTTTGAAGTAGCTAGGATTTGCAGCTAATTTTTTTTTTTTTTTTTGTGGAGGGTGTGCGTGTTTTCTTCTATATAACACAAAAAAAACGCAACATCCTCCACAAAAAAAATTCTAAAAAATCAACTGCGAATCCTAGCTACTTCAAACTTGCACTTTATTAGACTAAATTTGAATGGGCTACAAAACTTCACAACCGAAAATTTTCTAAATAATCTAATTAAAAATTTTGCAATTTTGATGACATTTTTTTAAGTTTGATTAATTTTTCTGCAATTTGTGTGAGCTTTGAAACTTTTATTATTGATGTTTCTGTTATAGAACGAATTATAATTTAAATGAAAAGTTATTGAAATTAAATAAATAAACATTTGTTCCAATCAAAACCATTTTGTATTTCGTTGCCAATTAGTTGATCGCATCTGTATGTGTGTATACTCTTCGTGCGCCTATACGCTGTTTAATCGCCGCTTAAACAAAATATTTCCAATATTTGGAAGAGCAAAAGATCTGCGCCCATACTTTAAAGCTTGCTAATTCGAGATTAGAATATGTACGCTGAAATATCTTCAGATACATAAAAGCGAATAGGAAAGTGATTTTTTTGCAGTGGTATGTGGAATACTAAGCTTTTACTTCAACCTCGAAAGTTTCGTAGGCTTAGTTAAGACATCGGTAGTATTTCCATATATGTAGATTCGCGCTTTACCATATGTATATTTAGCTATTAGCATGTGTGTTGCGGTTGTCGGTGTTGAACTCTACACAATATATTTGTTAATTTTTTAACTTATTCTGATCTGCATAAGCCACTGGATATTTTGCGTTACTGTTGCATATCTTCCACAAAGCAGCAGCATAAGGTGTAGAAGAATGCAGACTTCTACATCATTTCCAAACTAGAATCACTATTCTTAGTGACCACTTCTGTTTCAGATGAACCTGACCCGGAGCCAGCATCATCGACTTTTTCATTATCATCTGAATGTGATAAATGGGTGTGTAGGCGATGTGGAGTGGCCGCTAGCTGCCAAGCGGGTATTGAAGCAGGACCAGTGGAAAGAGGGGCTGCAAATTGTTTGCTGAAAAAATAACAAAGATAAAATCATAGACAAAGAATGTACACACAAATTTCATCAAAGGAATAAAGATGCAATGTTTTTGTATTAACATTCCTATAGTAATTAGAGTCTAAATTTTAGACACACC